TGTATGTGGGATCCGAACCCTTGGCAGGAGCGCCGCCGCACTCCCAAGCGGCGCACTGTAGCAGTGCGCCACCGGGCCGGCCCCGGGTTTCTGTTTTTACAGAGTACTGTCTGATTAATGAAAAGGCATTAGTGCATACACTTAAAAGTTCTAGAGATTAGAAGTCAAAAGACTTTGACTCTAGCCTGGGTTTCACCACTGGTCACTTTATCTTGCTAAATTTTAATGTCTTCATCTACAAAATGGGGGTGATGATATTTATTCTGCCTACCTCTCCCAAGGCTGCTGTGAGCATCAAACGAGATCGTGAAAGAGAAATATCCTGAAGCAGCACAACACAAATGCGAGTGCTTTGGGCTATCCTACTGGGAAAATAACTACTTAACATTCATGGAATTTGCGGGGAGGGCAAAAGTCACCACAAAGTCTAGGTGGAGGCTGACTCAGAGGATGTGCTAATTTCTACCTGTAACAGAGGAAACATGGTTGCCAGTTCCCCCTCAGCAGCACCTCCATCATCTATATAAATAAAGGACTTGGACTAGATGATGCTTTTCAGATTGAGGTCCACATCACCTGCAGAAGGACTGCCAAAGAGGTCTGGAGAGAAGCTAAGACTCCAGGTAGCCAAAAATCCTCTTCCTTTGTTTTTATCACTTTTACTCATGTGACTATCAAACAAGGGGCTACTGGCTTTGAAAAGTTTAAAGACTTTTTGAATGGGTAATTCCCAAAGTTACTTGCAATTCTTTAATTTGTTTATGCATTCATGCATTTAACAAATATTTAATGAATGTTTGTAACGGCAAGGCAATATTCTAGGTGTTGGGCATACTGACGAACAAGTGAGCCATGATCTCCACTCTAATGGAACTTTCCCATTAGTGAAGAAAGCAGAAATAAGCAGATGCCCAAATATGAACACTGATAAGTACAGTGGAGAAAATAAAAGAGGGTAGTGTGGACTTGAGGTAAGGAAAAGCTTCTCTGAAAAGGTGACATCTGCCTGAGACCTGAATGATGAGAGGGGACCTCCTTGGGAAGACCTGGAGCCACTGCTTTTGGGCCTTTTGGAGGGAGGAAGGACAGTGTGCTTGGTAATCAGTGCAAGGCATGGCAGAAAAGGGTAAGAAATTAGGACAGGGCAGGGGGGCAGCAACACAATCCTGCAGAGCCTTGTGATCTGTGCGTAAAATGGGTAGCCCTATAACAGCTAGGACCAGTGATCCATGGTGATTGGCATTCACTAACCTTGGAAAGTTGGGCAAGGGAAGTCCAGGGGAAAAGATCATATTTCGGCAAGTATTTTTTTCAGCCATCCTTGATCACTGCATTTCTCCCATTAAATTCAAACATTCCTTCCAAGAGAAACTTGCTCTTTTCTGTAAATGGCAAATTTCAGAAGGAACAGTAAAATCCAGGGCTTTCAGCCCTCCTTAATTAGGAGGTGAGTTTATACCAAATTATTTTTCTTCAAGGTTTCCTGGGTCTCAGGAGACCCCTGCCTGGAATGCCCAAGCATTCCCCAAACTGGGGAGGCAAGAGCAATGAGCCAAAGGCACCAGAAACATATGTCGCCCGATCCTCAGAGGCCAGGCCATTAATCTCTGTCAGATTTGGGTAAATGAGCCAAAGAGAATGAGTTTTGAAATGAAGCTAAGAAACCATGCTCGCTAGGACTGCATAACTACATGCACAACAAGGAAGGCCCAGGGTGGAGGTGTATCCTCACCATCAAAGACCATATGGTGGCTCACTAATAGCACTAGATTTGTTTACTGAGCACTTATCAAGTGCCACACATGACATCTAATCCTCTAACCACCACATGGACTAGGTCTAGTGTTATTCCCTTTTTACAGATATAGAACCTAGGCCCAGGACAGAGAGCTGGTAGGTGGTACAGTATTCTATCTTGCCTCTACAGGATGTTCCATTTCTTTTTTACCTTTCCAGGCAGTGGCAAAAACACACAACTACCAAGCCACACCAGTGGTTAGTATCATGGTTCGTAAATACCTTCTATACTGGCGGAAGCAAAGGGCATTCAATTCACTCTTTAGAAATGGTCCATCTGTTCTGGGCAATCCTTCTTCTATAGATCTCATAGTTGCCCACTAGCATCAGACTGAGATCCAGAGCCAAGAGCAATGTCCTTAAATAAAAGGTCTGTTTGACTGTGGCTTTGTCTTATGAGTGAAGAATATCTCAGATTTACATGCTTCCAGGAAAGCCTTTCAAGAGCCTCTATCTTAACAGGATAGAACCCAACCCTCCAGGAACAACTCAAGGGGACTTGGGTCATTAAACAATGCCTAATGATGGCTCCTAAGAAGACTGAAACAGATAATGGACCTTCTCAGCAACCCAGCTTAATCTAAAGTCTATCTGTCCTGCTTAGCTAGAGTCCTCTAAGATCTGGCCACATTAAAGTGTCCTAGCCCTTTAGCTTTATATACTTCGATGTAGGTATGCTCTAGTTGCTGCTGAATATATACATGAAGGTTTGTTAAATATCCATCTCAGTGAATATTTGTTTTCAAGTATATGCTTCCAGAGAATAGAAATTACATGTGTTTATCTTATCAGGGACCATCTGAGAGTCACTAAGGAATTATTACAATAGATATAATAATTTAATAACGATGACAAAAGCCCATATGTGTCAGACAGCACGCCAAGTATTCTATATGTATTATCTTGTTCAGTCCTCAT